CGTCCAGTCAGACTCTGGACGCTCAGAACCTGTTTATGAACAGAGAATCTGCCTGGATGATCAGGATAAGACTGCTGATGTCTTACACATCTAGCTTTTCTGTTCTTTTTACATAATAAAAGCTTCAGGTGTGCTGTGTTTGGATCCAGACTGAGTTCTTGGTAATATCGTAGGAATTCACGTCTGGTCTTTGGTTCTGGTTCTGGTCCTGAAAGTAAAACATCCACCTCAGTGATCTTCAGTTTGATGTTTCTCCACGTGTCTCTCAGGACGTCCTGTATTATGTCTCTGGACTCTGTCACAGCTGCTGTCACGTCCTCAAAGTGTCTCAGAGGACGGATGTTGATGCTGGATGAGTGTGTCGACTCCCTGAGTGCTGGCAGTGAGGGGTAGTTGAGGAGAAACTGGGTGTGATCCTCTGTGTGTGAGAGCTGCTCCAGCTCAGCGTCTTTCCTCTTCAGCTCAGTGATCTCCTGCTCCAGCTTCTCCTGAACATCTTTGACTCGACTCACTTCAGTTTCCTGCTGGGATCTGATCTGCTGCTTCACCTCAGAGCTTCTTTTCTGGAGGAGACGGATCAGCTCAGTGAAGATCTTCTCACTGTCCTCCACTGTTTTATCAGCAGAGTGATTGATGGCCTCCACCTCCTGTTGAAGCAGCTTCACATCTTCCTTTTGGTCCTGGATTCTCTGATGGATTTGTTGTCGACTCTCCCGGAGCTTCTTCTGCTTCTTAGCTCTTTCTGCTGCAGCTGGGACTGTTTCATGGCCTTTATGTTCCTCCATAGTGCAGAGATAACAGATACACTGCTGATCAGTACGACAGAAGATCTTCATCACCTCATCATGACGAGAGCAGATGTTGTCCTGGAGAGTCCTGGAGGGATTCACCAGCTTGTGTCTTTTTAATGGCGGAGCATCATAGCGAGGTTGGAGGTGATTCCTACAGTAGGAAGCTGGAGATGATAAACAGGACTTGACAGCTTTTCTCTTCCTCCCAGTACAAACATCACAGGCCACATCTTCAGGTTCAGCATAGCAGTGACCAGGTGCAGCAGCTCGGAGTCCAGGCTTCCTCACATCCTCCACTAAAGCAGCTAATGTGAAGTTTTTCTCCAGGGCAGGTCTTGGTATGAACTCTTTCCTGCATTGAGGGCAGCTGTATTTTCTCCTCTGATCTTCTCCATCCCAGTGATCTTTAATACAGTCCATGCAGTAGCTG